CCAGAATTTTGTTGTTTTTTTTTTTTAAATAAGGAGATTCTGGGACTTCCCTGGTGGTCCAGTGGTTAAGACTTCGCACTCCCAATGCAGGGGGCCTGGGTTCAATCCCTGGTCAGGGAACTAGATCCCACATGCCGCAGCTAAGACCCAGCACAACCAAATTAAATAAATAGACAGATAATTTTTTTAATAAAATAAAATAAAGTAAGGAGATTCTGACATATGCTCTGACATGAATGAACCTTGAGGACATTATGCTAAGTGAAATACGCCAGACACAGAAGGACAAATACCATATGACCCCACTTACAGGAGGTCCCTAGAGTCCTCAAATCCGTAGAGGCAGGAAGCAGAAGGGTATGTGGTGGGGGCTGGGGGAGGGATGGGGAGTGAGGGCTTAACGGGGACAGAGTTTCAGCCTAGAAGATGGAAGGGGTTCTAGAGACGGATGGTGGTGATGGCTGCACAACAATGTGAACGTGCTTAATGCCACTGAACTATAATCTTAAAAATGGCTAGGGCTTCCCTGGTGGCGCAGTGGTTGAGAGTCCGCCTATCAATGCAGGGGACGCAGGTTCGTGCCCCGGTCCAGGAGGATCCCACGTGCCGTGGAGCGGCTGGGCCCGTGAGCCATGACCGCTGGGCCTGCGCGTCCGGAGCCTGTGCTCTGCAGCGGGAGAGGCTACAGCAGTGAGAGGCCCGCGTACCGCAAAAAACAAAACAAAACAAAAATGGCTAAAATGGTATATTTTGTTGCACATATTTTACCACAGTTTAAAAGCAAACAACAACAACAAAACATGTTTTTGCCTGGCTTCCAGGAGGAAAAAGGAAGAGAAGACGAAATCAAGAGACAAGGCTGCCAGAGCTCATCGGACACAGTCCCCCCCGGAGCCCCAGAGCCTCACAGCCCAGCGGCTCCACCTGAAACTCGGGGCCCTGGATCCCCCTCTGGATGAGGAGCTTCTTCAGGAAAGACTTCTAGTGACCCCAGCACCTTAGCTTTACATCAGTCCCCAAAAGCTCAAGGAAAGTGGCAGAATTTGGTAAACAAACAGGCAGAGCACAGAGGGAAAAACAAAAGCAGAGGAGAGAGAGAGGCAGCAGCCTGGGTTTCTAGATTCTTCACTCTGTCCACTCCTGAAGAAACAGAGGCGCAGCCAAACTATTCAGGCTCCCACTTTTCTGTGAGGCTGCCCTGAGCCCACCTCACCTCGGCCTGCGTTTGAGACTTTTTTTTTCCTTTTTTGGGCAATTTGCCTCTCCTCCACACCCAACGGTTACAGGGTATGTGGGTGTATCGAGAAAGAAATTTCCCAAAAAAGGAAAAGTGACTCCCGGAGGTTAGTCCCATCTCAGAGCTGCCTGGAAGAGAAGGCAACAGTCACCCCGGGAGCCAGACTAGCCTGAGGCCCCAGACCCAGCAGAAGAGCCCACGCAGGAGGGCCCCTCGATACAGCCCTCCAGGCAGGCGCTGACCCGGGGACTGCAGCCCTCCTCCTCCGGGCCTCCTGGCCACCACGATGCCCCTCTGGGTCCCCACCCTATGCTCTGGAGCGCATTCTCCCTTCTGCTGAGGAACCGCTAAGAGCTTCGATGCAAAGCGCACCTAATCCCTCTCCCAGGAGCGCCCAGGTCCCACCTCCCCCCCACGCTGAAACAGAAATCCTGCAGCAACGCATTTACAAAGTTGAGTATTTCGACTCAACAAATGTTTACGAGGTCTGTGCTACCCAAACCCCAGGTCAGATAATACAAAGGTACCAAAAACGTATCCAAAAACTATCGGGGGCCCAGCACTGACGAAAAAAGGTACCATCCGGTAGGTAAGATAACATTTAAGCAAATGAAAACAAATAGTAATACTGTATAAAAGTCCAAATAACAATTTGAAACAGATTGTCACTAAGTGTTAAGGTCCCAGCCATAAAACGCTAATTTATTACATGCAATAGATTCGCTGGGGAGGGATGGGGCGGGTGGGGGAAGGGGGAGAGCTAAAGCTAAACTTGGCAGCAGTGGCACGATCAGCAGTGGCTACTGGCTGCTCAGAGCTGCTGCTCTTGGAGACCAACACCAAGATGGGCCTATTATACAGGTACAGAGGTCTGAACTGCCCTGAGCTGCCGCAGGAAGCGGTGCCTATCCACTCCCCGGCAGAGAGCCACACAAGCAGTTCTGCTGGCCCTGTGGTCGTCTGATGTGCAAGAACACCCCACAGAAACCCCTCCCCACCAGGAACAGGCCCATTCCTATTCCAGGCGCAGCACGCACCATCCCAGCCAGCAGGCTAACCCTGCCCATCACCTCCCTCACTCCCAGGAAATCTGAGGGGTAGGGCCTTCTGAACCTTTTAAGAACCGGGATGATAGCAAGTCAAACAATTAAAAAAAAAAAAAGTAAGCCACGGACCAGGTCACACAGGGTCTCTCAGCCCAGCACTGTGGACTTGGGGCCGGATCACCTTCTGCTGTGGGGCCATCCTGGGCATCACACTCTGTTTCGCAGCACCCTGGCCTCCACCCACTAGACGCCAAGAGCACCTCTGCACCCTCGTGCAGCTGTGAGACTCAAAGATGACTCCAGACATTGCTGGGCAGCCCCGGGAGGCACAAGGTGCCCAGTTGAGGACCACGGCTCCACTTCTAGGTACTCAGAGAGGAAAATTCTGGCACGGCTGGAACTTGGTTCACACATAAGTCTGCACGCACGGTGTTCTGCTCCAGGTGGAAGCGGGAGTCTAGGCTTCAGGAAAACTGGCCTCTGGGTTGGGGAGCGGCCACGAAGAACAAGGCCTGACGCAGACCACGGGGTGGGAGAGGCCGCTCCAGCCCCACAAGGAGGAGCCCACCCGCAAGCCCCCACGGCAACGGCCGCCAACGCCGACCACCGGGCGGCCGGCACCTGACCGTCCCTCAGCAGCCTCCTCGCGCACACGGCCCGGAGGCTTCCTCAGAACTTCCCCCACGGGGCCTTCCTAACGCGACAGGGAAAACCACGCCGCTCTAAAGGTATTTCAACACAACTGCTACTCTTTCCTGTCACTCACAGAAATGATGCCCCTTCACCTCGGGAGGGCCGTGTCCCTGCACTGCAGTCTGGGCCACAGAGCAGCACCGGTCAGTCTCTTCATCCCCACGGGGATCTGCCAGAGTGACCTGAGCCCATCCCTCCACTCTGGGCACCCTGAACACCCTCTCCGCAGCCCCGGTTTTCCCCGGCTTCCTTCTTCTCCATGGCTGGCACGTCCCACCTCCGCCCGAGCAGCACAGGACGGGCAGGTTGTGGGGAGACCGGAAGGCACGGCCGGGTGTCGCCCACGGCTCACAGTCCCAGTCGTGCAGGAGCAGCTCTCGGACCAGCGTGTGCTGTGCATTTGTGCCCAGCAGCCGCCCTCAGGCTCGTGCAGCTGAAGAGAACCATGGACTATACTGGACTCCAGCTGGACCTAAAGAAAGATTTCCTGACGAGAACAATCAGCCTCCAAGCCGAGTCCAGAAAATTCTGTTTTTTGGGCTGGTTCATGGCCCGGCCCAGCCTGGATGTCATCCAGTGACCTCCAAGGCCCCTTCTCTATGGTTAGTCTTTGCGGGACTTAACAGCAGTCAGACAGGCACAGGGAGGACAAAGTAAACCTCCAGGCAGGTCGGAGCCCACCTCCCGCCCCAGGGCGCCTGCTGACGTGAAGGTCAAGTCAGGAGAACACAGAGGGCAGTGCTGAGTCACCAAAGGAAATGAGTGTCCAGGTGAATCCGCCCCACTGCTCCTGCCTCTAGTAAATTCTACCACCACCGGTGGTACCAACCCAGTCGCCTCAAACTACTCTGGACCACAGATGTTTCCACGGCAAAAACCCTCTGTGGACCACCCACGTTGTACAAATATGCTCATCAGAAAGAATGAAGAAGAAAATTCTTTTTTTGAAGGAACCAATGAGGCAAAATAGTCAACACAGAACTAGGTATCATACCTATTAATTCCCATTCCTAGATATCATACCCATTAACTTGTCCCACAAACAAAATGGAAAACGCATCACAAAGATTAAGACCCCACATGGAAACGGAAACACCGATGGCCTGGTCACGTATCAGCTGTGATAACCACCGAACATCCAAGTGTCCCAACAGACTACAAGGTGCTGTGCTCACACTTCCAGAACCCTGCTGTCACCCCTGCAGCAAGGAAATGAACTCTGAAAGGAGTGGGGTCAACCTGTCTTACACGGTGTGAACAGATGTTCTTGGACAGTCCCAGTTTAACAATGCTGCCCACACAAAGGTACGCACGCACACACACACACACACACGCCAATGGAACAGGAAAAGGCACTCAAAGCTTCCACCTTCAATCCTTTATAAAGCTTGGAACTCAGTCATACTTTAGATTAGTTAGGACAGACTGATCTCCTTTAGAAAAAAGTCAGGAGACAAAATGGGTGGGAAAAGAAAAGCCAGAATATTCTACCTGGTTGGTAAATACTCATCCAGCCCAGGAAACAAATCAGGTGGGTGACAGGACAGGATGGAGCCCGTACACCCTGGCTCAGTGACCAGAACACTAACCCTGTGGCCAGGAGACCTCTGAACATCAAATACGATGAGCGACACCAATTCCAGCAACGGACCTGAGAGGAGCCCTGCACTACGCACGGATCCGCGGGGGTCAGCTGGCACCCGCCCACCCAGGGCGGCCGCACCTGCTCCCGCGGGCCCGCAACCTCCTCCGCTTCTCTCTAACCAGGCGCTCCTACCACCCTGAACAGAAGTGACTTCCTCCCTCACCGTGACTCTCACCCGTGGCCACTGAAGGCGCCTCGAGGCAAAGGTCGGGGCTGTGAGGGCTGCTGCAACCAGCTGCCACACGGGCTTCCACATCTCCAGCCTCCCGAGCAGAAGCCGAAGCAAGAGCACACAGCTGCCACAGGCCGACACCACCGCGACGAAGGGGCCTGGCGAAGGCCGGGGCAGGAGAGGGGAGGGGCGGAGGAGGACACTCACCATCTCATCCAGGGCGTAGCGCAAGAGGCCGTGCTCGTAGAGGATGAAGAACCGGCGCTGCCATTTCTGCAACGGAACACAGAGGGTGTCGGGAGGGTTCTGGCCCGTCTCCACTTGCCGAGCCCCTGCGCCTGACAAGCCTGCCTCTGAGGCACGCTGGCTGCACAGCTTCCATTTCTGGGGCCCAGGGGTAGAAGAACAGTGCCTCGTCAGCCAGGATTGGGCCAGTGGAGAGGCCCAAACCACCCAGTGTGTTCCCAATCACTGAGATTTTAAAAGATGCCTGATCTAGTTTAATCTGCAAGCTCCTCAGAAAAAGGAGCAGAGGCAATGTCTGGGTCACCTTTTTGTTTTCTTTAGGTACCCAGCACAGAGCTCATTACTAATAATGTGTCAATATTAATCTGATGAATTACCTGACATGATATGGGATAACCTGAGAATGCCAAGCACTGATTCCCCACTTTTGAAAACATCTGGAAAAATGGTATAAAAGGGTTGTTCCAGTGACCCACAGGGAGGTTGAAAAAGGGAAAAAGCCAGCCGGGCACCAGTATTCACTGAAGGGGACAGAAGTAACAAAAATCAAAACTGAGGAGGGAGGCCAGTGGGAACAACTCTGACGTCCAGGGAGGGAGTGACCGGCAAAGGGTGCCCGTGCCCCTGCCCCCTCGCTGCCCTCCACCCAAAGGCTAGGCCACCAGGGGCTGATGGAGGTCCAATGGCACTGACAGTGGAATGGAAAGGCCCTTCCTTTTTGTGGGGGGGAAATGTCTAGAACGTGAGACTGCTGGTCCCCAAATCCCAAAAATCATCATGAAGATCCGTGACCTATTTTCAACATTTCCAAAAGCCCAACAAAATTCATACTTTTACTGGCAATAAGGCCACAAGAACTAACTAAAATATCATGTCTCTTTGCTTTGGGCCAGAATTATATCATTTGTAATAATGATTTTCCCATCAGAAGCTGAAAATGGCAATTCTGTATGACCTAAATACAAAAGAGGAAAGAGGGCTGTTCCCTGGTTACTGCAGCCACTGGAACACAGTCGCTCTGGCTGTCCTCACGCCTGGGTGGCAGGAACAGGGCACTCACGTGGCCTTGCAAAGAGGACCCGTAGAGGCTGGGCCACCTGGACTCTTCCCAAGAAATATTTCCAAGGCTCCTATTTGTTGTTTTTAAAATTAAAACCCATTCTGGAAGGAAGCCCAAAGACCCCAGATACAAAGCAAGTTCTGTGGGGTACCAAGGCCCCACCCCAGAGTGTAACATTCAGGCTGGGGGCAGCAGAGACCCAGAGGCAGGGCAGAGGCCCTGGGGAAGGGGGCAGGCGGCAGTACCTGGAGGAAAGTGTGTGGAAAAAGAAAGCATGTTTTAATTGGAGTCAAATCCAAAGGGGCTCCCTGACAGAGGAACAAGCCACTGACCCGGGACGATTCTGGTTTGACCATCTCGCTGCTCCAGCTGAGACCTGGCCAAGCAGTAGCCTGTGTCCAGCAGGACCCACCCGGGGCTGGGTGCCCAGGAGAGATGGGACGCAAGCAAAGTTGGCCCTTAAGGCCTGCCTCCCCTCACTCCTGCTCATCTGCTGAGCTCCCAGCTGGGGAGGAAGGGAGGGGAAAGAGGCGGGGGCTACAGGAAGCAGAACATTGGCCCTGAAAGAACTCGGACCCTAATTAGCATAATGCAAATGTGCGCTGAACTGCCCTTCGGTCTTTTCCATTTAACTGTTTCTAGAGTGGAGCTGACCCACAAAACAGGTAGCACCATGCGAGTGCATCTCTTTTGAATGGAGGGCGAGGCATAATAACTACTGGGACCTGCAAGTTCACCAAATAGGTAGGGGTTCCCTGCTGATCCGCCATCCCAGGATCCACCATTCAACCCCCCATCTCCGTCCTCCACTCGATCAATCTGCCTTAGGTGGGCCCCTCTCTTGGTGAATTCTCCACCCAAGAATTCACTCTGATGCCCTTACCCGAGATCGGTGCACTGGGTTATCAAAGTCAGTCCCATCTGGAGCCAGGAGCAGCCAGCCACCATAAATGGGTTTTGCCTGGAGGAGAAAAAGGAGGGCAGGTCATCAGTGGCCTTGGACAGTTTCAACGGTCAAGTTAATGACAAGCTGACAAGCGCTCGCTGGAAAAAGAATCCACCTCTGCTCCACACACTCCATGCATCCCATTCCCCAGCCCCAGGCCAAGTTGCCAAGAGAGATGCTGGAGAGCCTCCTGGCAGGTCTGTAGCATCTGGTGTGGGGAGGAGAATGCAAACCCAGCAGGAGTCTGAAACACCGGAGAATATAGGAACTCCTAAGAAACAGATACCTCCCCCTCAAGTTTCTTATCAAGCCACCAGGATCAGGGGAAAATGGCATTTTCTTCATAACCATGCGAGTGCCAATATGTGCAGGCACTAGGGATATCATGTGACCAGCACAGTCAAAGCCCCTCATCCTGATGGTACAGAACAGGGCCTGGGAGCAGAGATACTGCTTTAGCGATCATCATTAGCACGGCCAAAGAATCACCAACTCGCTGGTTGTATGACCCTGGGCTGAAAACCCTTCGAGTTTCTATCTTCCCGTTTGAAAGGTGAGAGTGATGATAATTATATCTACACCTCATGAATCTTATGTGAGGACTGAAGAGACAATCCAAGTAAAACACAGCCCAGCACAGGAATGCAATACAGTGCAGCTACTGGGGAAGAGTCTGGCAGTTCCTCAAAAGGTTAAACTCAGAAATCCCTATGACCCAGAATTCCACTCCTAGGTATATACAACCCCAAGAAAACTGGAAGCAGGTGCTCAAGTAAAAACTTGGACATGACCGTTCACAGCAGCACTATACACAATAGCCGGAAGGTAGAAACAACCCCAATGTCCATAGCAGATGAATGGATAAAGAAAATGCGGTCCATCCAAACAATGTAACGTCATTCAGAAATAAAAAGGCATGAAGTACTGACACGCTACAACATGGCTGAACCTTTCACTTAAAGACGTTATGCTTTAAGTGAAAGAAGACAGACACAAAAGACCACAAACTGCATGATTCCAGTTATATGAAAGGTCCAAAATAAGGAACTCCACAGAAGCAGAAAGCAGATGAGAGGTAGCCAGGATGTGGAGGGAGCAGGAAATGGGGAGTGGCTGCTAACAGGTATGGGGTTTCTTTGGGGGTGATGAAAATGTTCTGGAATTAGACAGTGGAGTCAGCTGCATGAACTTGTGAGTACGCTAAAAATTACTAAATCGTATGCTTTAAACGAGTGAATTTTGGGACTTCCCTTGTGGTCCAGTGGGTAAGACTCCACACTCCCAATGCAGGGGGGCCAGGTTCGATCCCTGGTCAGGGCACTAGATCCCGCATGCCTGCCACAACTAGGAGTCCACGTGCTGCAACTAAGACCCGGAGCAGCCAAAATAAGCAAGTAAGTAAATAAATATCTTTTAAAGAGTGAATTTTATGGTATATGAATTATCTCAAAAATTGCATGAGAAAAAATAAACCTGAGCACAGCGTGTGGCCTAAAATACTTAATAAATGCTGGCTATTTTTATATTTTTTGTATCCAAAGCGTCCCCCTGGCCCCCCAGATACTGGCAGTAGGAGTTCAACAGGAGCTAAAAGATAAAGACAGACACTCAAGACTCCACCTCCCTTTTTTTAGCCATACCCAGCTCCTGAGAAAGGGCTGGGAAAGGCACAACCAGGCCAATGTGTCCACTGCCCTTTGGAGGGCAGCAACACAAATTAAAGCCCAAACCCTCTGCCTGCTATTTACACACATAGACTATCTCCGGGTAAGCCCTAGGGGTCCTCTTAGCATGCTTTTTATTCAACATTTCCAAACTGGGAGGCCCTGTCACACCACCTCATTTTGAAAAGCTGTGTAGTCTGTGACTCACAGAGGGAAGGTCCCTTGCCAGAGGTCACAGAGCATGGGGGGTGAGCCTCTTTTCTTGGCTTCTGCAGGGTCCTCAGGCCCCCAGGGGAAGCACTGGCTTTTCCCTGTGAACAGAAAGAAGGGCTTCGGGCAAGGGGTATGGAGTCGGCTGAAGGAAAGAAGCGAGACTGGCGTTGATGAAACATGGGGGGGCTTCCCTGGTGGCGCAGTGGTTAAGAATCCGCCTGCCAGCACAGGGGACGCGGGTTCGAGCCCTGGTCCGGGAAGATCCCACGTGCCACGGAGCAACTAAGCCCATGCGCCACAACTACTGAGCCCACATGCCACAACTACTGAAGCCCGCACGCCTAGAGCCCGTGCTCCACAACAAAGAAAAGCCACAGCAGTGAGAAGCCTGCGCGCCGCAAAGAAGAGTAGCCCCCGTACCCTGCGATTAGAGAAAGCCCACACGCGGCAATGAACACCCAACACAGCCATAAATAAATAAACAAATTAATTTTTTAAAAAAGATATACTAATGTCTATAGGCAGGAAAAAACATTAAAAAAAGAAAAGAAAGCAAGCAACAGGGGAGTGGGTGCTGGCAGGGGACCAAGAGTTAGAGGGACATGACTCAGAAGGACCATGGGGTGTGTGGAATGAAATGCTGCCTGGGAAAGCAGAAGCAAAGAGAATAGAGGTCTGTTTTCTCAGCAAACACCAGCGGCACCCAGCCATCCCCCAGGCATGCGAGCACACTTGGCCTCTCTCTGCACACAGGACGGAGAGGTCTGTGCTGGGGGACGACCCCATGTGTACCCCGGCCAGGTGACTCCCCCACATGGCCGCTGGGCCTGCAGTTCCCTGACCTGTAAAATCAGGAGGTTAGACCCCAAGGCCATGTCTCCTCCGTTTCTGTCTGGCTTTGATCGTACATCACCCTCCTCATTTCTGGCTGCAGGGCTTTGGGGCGACTTCACATTATCAGCTACACCTACCTGCCCTTTCCTCAAAAGGGGCAGTGGGAGACCTGCGACTGGCACAAGTCCCTCAGAACCTGGCCCGAAATCAGCATCGTTATTCGCTCAACAACCATCTACTCAGGGAGCCTGCCAGCATCCACCTCACTTGGCCAAGACTTCCATATACGGATCACCCCAAAGGGGACCCATCTCAGGTGGGCAGGTCGTCCTAAAAGGTGGGAAGGCTGGGCCAGTAGAGGGCACAGGGCAAGAAACAAGTGCTCTAGCAGCCTGGGAAGTGGGTAACGTTCCACAAGAGCATTTACCAAGGCAAATCCATAGTGACAGAAGGCAGATGGGGGTTGCCCAGGGCAGAGGGGATGGAAGGATTGTGGGGAGTGACAGCTACAGGGTTTCTTTTGGGGATGATGAAAGCATTCTAAAATTGATTGTGATGACAGTTGCACATCTCTGGGAGTACACTAAAACCATCAAATTGTACACTTTAAGTAGGTCAATTGTATATGGTATGTGAAGAATTATCTCAATAAAGCTGTCTAAAAAAAAACATTTACAAAGGCCTATGTAAGGCAGTGGGGAAGCAGAGATAAATAAGAAACTGCTCCTACCTTCATGGGTTCACAGTCCACAGGAAATGTAAACTAATGAGTCCTTCTCCCAAAGCCAAGAAAAGCCAAGTCTAAGCTAAGAAAGCCAAGTCTAGGGAAGCGGGGGGGAGGGTTGGGGGGGCAGGGATTCACTACGTAAGTTTTCAAGGGGACTCTGTGCTCTGCGCCCCCCCCCCCCACCCGCCAGATTTGGGACACTTCAGTCAAAGAGACAGGGACAAAAGTTTCCAAGGACAATGAGCTGGTCCCCTGGTTTGTAGCAAGCGAGCTAGAACATACTAGACAGCATCCAGAGGGAAGCCCAAGGCAGCAGCTCAGGTCTGCTGGGGCCGGGAGTGGGGCAAAGGGCTAACAGGGCAGACTTGGCGTCCACAGCTGGGTGACAACGAGAACCTCCAGATGTCCAGTGCGCAACGCTAGGGTTGTCAGGAGACAGGAAGATACCTGCCACCCTGCACTGCCATCCAAGCAAGCAAACAAACAGGGAACAACCAACCTGTGAGAAGGAGGGTGGCCTGGGGCGGAGAGGACTCGCTGGCATGGGCACAGCTAAAGTGAAGACAGAGGCAGGAGCCCGTCCACCAGTGCCGCGCGGCTTGGCTGCCGCCCTCCTTCAACTCATCAGCGCCTGGAACCCCGTCCACAGGCCTGGAGAGCCACACACCAGGACACCCCGCTCTCTCAGGTAACCCCACAGGCATGGAAGGGCGCCCCAGAGGTGCTGCTGCTCCCACTATTTCTCAGACTGTCTAAAAATGGCAACAGCAGACCCAGCCATGCCAGTGAGTCCAGAAACACCCACCACAGCCTCTGTCCCTATGGGAGAGGCTCACAAGCAGACAGAGGTTTTGTAGGGCAGCATTCCTCCCTCTCTTGCCTCATCTTTTCTGGGGCGGGGCGGGGCCTCTGACAGGACCGAAGGCACCCTCTTCCTGGGAGCCCCCCAAAAACCTGACGTACGAACTGTGGCAACCCCAAAGGCGGCTGGCACAGGAAGTGGGCTCTAGAAACTCTTAATGGTATGTAGTTCTGCTGCTGTTTTCTGGCTGGGCAGCTGGGGTTTTACTTTAAGGGGCAGCGGGAAAAGGAGAAGCAGGTAACTCTTGTCAACACTGAGGACCCAAAAGATGGGACTGAGTTCTGCTTCAGGCAGGCCACCTGGGAAGAAGCACCAGACCTGTGCAGAAGTCACCACCTGAGAGCACCCGCTGAGCCTCTTCCCTTCCGATTAAACTGAGACATGCCCTGCAAACCCAATAAACCAGAGGCTACGCTTCCGGCTGATCTCTGGGAAGAGACTGCTGGTGGCCTAGGCATTCTCCTCAGCCCAAAGCCCTTTCGAAAATGGTCACTGGAAATTTCTGCTTCAAGATAGGGTAGATGTAAATGTTCCCTATGCCTCCCACTAAGTACAAATAAAACCCTGGACACTGTATATAAGACAAACCTAAGAAGACTCGAAAAGATGGAGAGTAGAAGGCAGAGGGGCTGGGGACCTCGAGACCCAAGGAACCATACAGAGGTGTACGCCCTGGATTTCTTTCTGCCTCACTGTCCCAGACTGGAGTCTGGAG